TCCCAGCTACTTTTCTGGCTCTTGTCCTGCACTTTTGGCATTTCTTCTGTTTTTTGGTCAATGAGTCAAAAGCATGTTTTTAGCACCTCCTGTGTGCACAGATGTGGACCCTGACTCAATAGGAGTATACACTACCGGGGCCAAATAGATGTGTGCTTGAATGACTGCCACCAGGGCAAAGACATGCTTCCTTGAGTCCAATGGAACTTGCTGCCCCTCTAATCCCTTCACCGTAAGGCCTCTAAATGAATGATCAAGAAATGTAAAGGTGTATGTCACATGTGCATCTTACAAATGTTTGTGCATTTGTCTCTGTGTCCTTACATCACAGGCATTGCCTCTTTGTTTCATCAATGACTCCCTGTGTGGCCTTAGCTCACTTTCTGCATCTGTAAAATGGACCTAATATTATATATATACATATGTATGTATGTATATATATATACATATATATATACACACACATATATATATGTAAAATTATATATATTTCATTTTAAGTCTCAAAATCACTCAAGGGAATTTTTTTTTTTAATTGGGCAATTTTACCTGCTGCCTTTGCACATTCTAGTAAGTTCCTAAATAGAAGCCTGGTAGAGATGAATCTTTCAATGCCTCATAAGTAAAAAAGAGAACACAGAAAGATGTAGCTGGAATCTATAGGGATCTAAAGTATTTCATGGAATATTAATGACCTTGATCAGTTTACAGGTGTTTTGGAAAAGGACTCCATGGTCAAATAAAATTTGGAAATGCTGAGTTAAAGTTAAATAAGTTTCTTCCCTGCAGAACTTCACAGAGTCTTTAATATGCTAATGTGCTTTGTGAATCTACAAGAAGTGGATAAGGAATAAAGTGTTTCAACACCTATTTTACCCCAGATTCTCATTTTGGGAAATGCCAGTGTAGCTGAGGCAGCTAGTACATTTCTCCACATGAAGATGGCGGCTTATGTCTTTCTGAGAGCAAGGGAGTCCCCAGGGAAAGGAAGGATGTATCAGTTGCTCCCGTTTCATGCCAAGAATTCTCAGTGTGATGCTTTTCTCTAGAGGCTCAGAGAAGGTGGGAGGCATTAGTGTTCTGGGGAAAACACTCTGGGAACAGTAATCTAACTCAACCTTCTCATTTTACCAGCAAGCAACTGTGGGCCCTCTCAGTTTCCTTTCTCCATCTTTGTAACAAATTCATTGAAATTGACTTGGTCAAATTTGAGGGCAGCTTTGAAGAATTTATTTGGCAGGCGAACCCTTTTAGTACACAACAAAGGAAAGTTGCTGCATATATTTTGAGTTTCCATAGTCAAAAACTACAGATTAATTCAATCGACCTTTATAGAATATCACCTATACCCAAAGATACTTCAGGTATAGTGGTGGTGTACAAAGCTATAAACCATAATTCTTGCAATACAGGAGAGTAATAGTAACAGTAAATATGATGTTGATGGCAATAATATAAACGGCTAACATTTATTGAATGCCTATTTGAAGGCACTTTACTAATTATTTTAATCCTCCTGGAAATTTATGAGGTATGGATTATAATAATCCCCATTTCACTGTGAGGATGCTGAAGTTAGGAAAGGTTAAGAAATTATTCCAAGGTCACATACAGTTAGGGGAGAGAAGACATGTATCAACATGCATAGAAAGGTATATCAGCTGCGAAATGTTATGAGTGATACAAAGTGCTATATAAATTCAGAGAAAAGAAAAATAGTTTTCTGTTTTTGAGACAGAGTCTCACTCTGTTGCCTGGGCAACATAGTGCCATGGCGTCAGCCTAGCTCACAGCAACTTCAAACTCCTGGGCTCAAGCAATCCTGCCTCAGCTTCCCAAGTAGCTGGGACTATAGGCATGTGCCACCATGCCCGGCTAATTTTTTTTTTTCTATATATTTTTAGTTGGCCAATTAATTTATTTCTATTTTTTTTTTAGTCTCGCTCTTGCTCAGGCTGGTTTTGAACTCCTGACCTTGAGTGATCCTCCCACCTCGGCCTCCCAGAGTGATAGGGTTATAGGCGTGAGCCATGGTGCCTGGCCCAAGAAAAATAGTTTTCAAAAGACTTGATCAGTGAGTGTGAAGTATGTGCTGGACATTTCTGTTTGGTTGCTCATCTCTCCTCCCTTTGGAGGTCAGCACCCCCTTTATTTGGAAGAATTATTTTCCTTTCTACTGTGAGGCCCTGGCTATGTGGTTGGGCATGTGGCCTCAAACTGGATTGATCAGAGCCTTTGGGAATTTTGGAATTAGAACCATGGAAAGAGGATTTCCTCTTGGATGGTAAAAGTGCAAAATCTTGTCTGAGATGCTGATGTCTTGTTCCTGGGTTGTGGAAGGCGTGAACTGAGGTAGGGGAGAATGCTGGGGATGTCACGAGAAAGGTGGGTGCTGGAAGTGGAGCGATGGAGTCTTGGAGGGCTTCTGGTCATCTTGGCTTGGGAGTGCATCCTTGTCTTTGTTATGGGGCAAAGACTTACCATACCGGCTCTTATGGGAATGACACTGTCCTGCTTTGCAAAATAAAATGTCATTAGGAAGAGATTAATAAAACCCTCACACCATAGAGAGGTGCACAGATTCTTAAATAGAGGAAAACAAAGGAACAGAAAACAAACAAACATTAGCCTGGCTAATTTAAATTTTTTTTTTTTTTTTTTTAATAGAGACAAGGTCTTGCTATGTTGCTGGGGCTGGTCTTGAACTCCTGGGCTCAAGCAGTTCTCCCACCTTGGCCTCCCAAAATGCTAGGATTGATTACAGGCCTGAGTTACTGTACTCTGCCCAACCATTCTTTTTTAAAATTGTTAGTTGAGACCGAAAAATTGACCTTGTAGTCCCAGCTACTTGGGAGGCTACTCAGGATCTCTTGAGCCCAAGAGTTTGAGGCTGCAGGGAGCTATGATGATGCCACTGCTCTCTACCCAGGGTGACAGAGTGAGACTCTGTCTCCGTAAAACAAACAAACAAAAATTGTTAATTGACAAATTATAATTGCATATATTTATGGGTACAATGTGATATCACAACACATGTATACAACGTGAAGTGATTAAATCAAGATAACATATTCATCAGCTCAAATATCTATCTTTTTTGTGGTAGGTCTTTTGTGTGCACATTTAAAATTTACTCTGTTAGTAATTTTGAAATTCACAATACATTATTATTAACTTTAGGCACCATGCTGTGCAGTAGATCTCAAAAAACATGTTCCTCCTATCTAACTGAAATTGTGTACACCTTGTTCAACATGTCTCCATCCCTCCCATCTCTTCTAAAAAAAAAAAAAACCCCATTCTTTGCTGTTGAAGAGAATAGCTAACAAAGTCCCAACAGCTCTTGGTTGATGGCTTCAGCGCTTTCCCCATCACGCTTCAATGACATTAATAAAAAGAGGAGGGCAATACAAGAATTTGGACAGGCTGCAAGTGCCATGTTGGCCACTTCCTTGACCTCACAAAAAAGCCCTCTTTTTCTCATCTGTAAACTGTGGACAATATGAATACCATTTTTTTTTTTTTTTGGCCTCTGAAGAAAAAACAGATGCAAAGCCTTATATCAATTGCAAAACAACAGATAAGTGTGAGCTTTGCTCACAGTTATCTTGCTATGATCAAACACTTTATAACTCTGTGGCAAGTCAGCCTTACTCCAAGGAAGTGGACAGTATATGGGGAAGAAGCAGCAGCAAGAGATTTTAGGACAGCAGCCTTAGTGGGGGCAAAAATGCCTTAAGGGTAATGAGAAATAGAAGCCAAGATAAGAATCATTTCTTCCTCCATTGGGTTTTATCCTGTTAGTTGCTTTCTCTTCATTTCTATTTTCTTTTTTTTTGTAGCTAATTTGATGGCCTATATTTATTTTTATTTTATTTATTTATTGTCTATTTTTTTTTTTTTTTGAGACAGAGTCTCGCTTTGTTGCCCAGGCTAGAGTGAGTGCCATAGCGTCAGCCTAGCTCACAGCAACCTCAAACTCCTGGCCTCAAGCGATCCTTCTGCCTCAGCCTCCCAAATAGCTGGGACTACAGGCATGTTCCACCATGCCTGGCTCATTTTTTCTATATATATTAGTTGGCCAATTAATTTCTTTCTATTGTTTTATAGTAGAACGGGGTCTCTCTCAAGCTGGTTTTGAACTCCTGACCTTGAGCAATCCGCCCGCCTTGGCCTCCCAGAGTGCTAGGATTACAGGCGTGAGCCACCGTGCCGGCCTATTTTGTATTTTCTATGGAGAATTTCTTGGTTTTGGATTTTAAGTGGGGTTTATGGAGAGAAGGCAGACAATCCCCAGCCCCTGCAGAATGAGAGGATGCATGCGAAGGGACCTGGTACCCATTTCTTGCTTAATTTGGCTTTGTTCATTCCTTTCTGGGAGGACATTAATAGGGGCTTTCAGCCTCCTCCTATCAAATGCGATGAATTGAGGAAGAGTTCAGCAGTGTGGACAAACACAGTGCGGGATAAGCCAGCTTTCTAAGCAGGAGCTGGGTAGGGAGGGTAAGAAGAGTAAGAATAAGGAAATATGTGTCGTTTGTGTTGCTGCTGTCGCAATCGCCACAACAAACAAGCAAAAAAAAAAAAAAAAAGTTTCCATACTGCAAAGTGTGCAGCCCTGGGCGAGGCCGGGGAAAGAGGGGAAAGTGTGGAGGGCTGGGTGGGTCCTCCTGGACTGCAGGGCCTGACAGCGTGTGATTCCCCGCAACACATGGGCGGGGGCCGTGCACACACACGGACACGCGCGCAGCGCCCAGCCTCCGATTTCAGCGCTGGCAGAAGATAACAATTCCCAGCTCGCCTTTCCAGGGTTATTTTTGGCCGGGGCTGTTCCCTGATGGCAAAAGTGTTCAGCCCCCTCCCAACTCCCTCCTTGTCCTTGTTCAAAAGAGAAACTTGTGCGCGTAAGCCGCTCAGTCCCAGGGAGGCCGGGAGAGAGGGCTGCGGGCGTGGGGGGCCGGGGGCCGGGGTGCGGGAGGGGAACCCCAACTGGCTCCAGCTCTCTGCACTCCCGGGCTATTTGCTGGCGGAGGGTGCGCCTGGGGGAGCAGCGATCGCGGGGGGAGACTGGGGACAGGCGCGGGGTCCTGGTAGGTGGCTCTGGTACCGGGCTCTTGGGACACCCCGAAAGTGAGCCCAACTGGGGGAAGAATCTGAGGGCGACCCGGCAGCAGAGGAGCTGGGCGGGCGGACACTTGATAGGAAGGCGGGGGCCGAGCCCTGCTGAGGCAGCGAGGGGACGCGCGGCGGAGGAGCGGGCGGTGCCGCGGGAGGGCGCAGGGCGCAGGGCGCCGGCGGCGGCGGAGGGGGCCCGGGCGCGAGGCGGAGCCCCGGCGCGCCGCCAGGCTGGTGGGGGGCCCCGGCGGGCTGCAGATTCCCTCCGGCTCCCCGCGCCGCGGCAGGACCGGCCAGCAGGCGCCATGGAGGGCAGCCCCATCCCGGTGCTGACGGTGCCCACGGCGCCCTACGAGGACCAGCGGCCGGCGGGCGGCGGGGGGCTGCGGCGCCCCACCGGCCTCTTCGAGGGCCAGCGCAACTACCTGCCCAACTTCATCCAGAGCGTGCTGTCGTCCATCGACCTGCGCGACCGCCAGGGCTGCACCATGGTGGTGGGCAGCGACGGCAGGTACTTCAGCAGGACCGCCACGGAGATCGTGGTGCAGATGGCCGCGGCCAACGGGGTGAGTGGCCCGGACGCCCCTCGCTTCCCACCGCCGCCCCAGCCCCTCCACTCACCCTTGTCACCGCCCCCGACCCATCTGAGAGTCTTCCCCCGTCCCGCGTCCTCTCCTCCCCGCCGCCCCCCGCCTGGAAGCCTCCCCGGGACCCCGAGCGCCCGCCCGGGTTCTGTCAGCACCCGCCGCCCGAGAGACTCGAGGGTCCCGCTCTTCTCTGAGCCCCTCCGGACGCCCCGAACGCTTCCTCGCTTCCGCCCACGTCCCACACCTGCTTTTTCTTTTAGACATTCTCTTCCCTAGCCCTTTTCGGCAGCTCCCGGTTTTAAACATTGTTCCAACTGCGTTCGCTGCCCACCCTCCCCACACAGACTTCTTTCTTGGGCTCCCGACGTAGTTCTTCCCTCCTTCTCTGTCCTTTTTGCAATAATCCTCAAGCCCCCTACATCTTGGCTCTGTCAAATTTAACGTAGTGTTGTTTCAGAACACACACACACACCCCAGTTTTGATCCCTGACATATTTGGCAAGAGTGGACCCTGAAGGTTTTGAATATCAGTGGTTCCTCAGTGGAATTACTGAATGATTTATTTGATTAGGGTAGGGATGGGGCAAATCAATTTGTTTGATGCTAAACGGCTTGAACTCTCAGTTCCCGGGAGGCATATCTCTAAATGGCCTGAAATGAGATTTGCAGTGGTTTTCTTAAAGCAATTCCCAACTTCTCTCCAAGATGCCTTTTGGCATTTAACATTTCATGCCTCTTCCCCTTTTCATTTTCATCCTCATTTTCTCTTCCTTCTCCCACGACCTCTGTGGTCTTCTTTTGCAATCCGAATTCTCAGACCTTGGGATTTTCTCCTGCCCCTTTCCTCCCTAACCTGCAAAAGAAGCACCTTTTGGCATATCCCCATATTCCAGTTTCCTCTTTTCCAAGTCTGGCAGCATCTCAGGAATGTCTACAAGAGGGATACCTAATTTCAGGGGTATCTGAATTATCTGAGGGAAACATTGTCTAAAAAAGCAATTTCCACTTTGTCAATGCCCGCAGACCCACGCACACAGAACTTTTCATTAAGGGAAATCTCTTTTGCAGATTATACATGAGTGCAAACATCTTTAAAAGTAAAACTAAACAATTTGGATTCTCTCCCTCCTTCCCAACACTGTCCTTTTAATTTTCTCATTTCTTATTTTAAAAAACAAAACAAAACTTTAGGATTGTCCATGCTTCATGTTCCATGTTCTGCTATAATTCCTCCTTCTCAGTGTTTCAGGGTTGGGGAAAAAGGCTTTTACAAAAAATAATCGAAAGCAGTTGGGAGAAATAGGGCCAGTGGTGCTGGGGTGGGTGGTGGAATTACAATTTTCAACTCTAGCACAGTGATGCTGGAGATATGGGACTTGTATTTCTCTCCGGCTTCTCGCTTGAGATTGATGAAAGTTGGCTAGAATGGGGAGTTGGAGGGAGGTTGACAAATGGTCTTTCACTGCTGTCTGACAAAGCTGTTCGCGTGGAGTGATGGAGAATAACGAGCCTTGGGAGGGCTATGGCAGCTTTCGTGCTCCTTCCTGGGCCAATTTTTTTCAGGGAGTGAGAGAAACATAGCCTGTCCAGTATTTATTGTGGGTCAGGATATTTTTGAAGCTACGGTTGTTTACTTGCATAGGCAAAATATTATCATGCATTATTATTTCTTGGTCCACTTTACCATAAATAAATACTCTCCAAACTCTTACTTCAATGGGTCTTCTATGACTCACACATTTTAATTAATCTAAGAGTGGAGTTTATTTTAGGAGGTAATAAGCATATGTTAATATATACTTAAGATAGAGTCAAATTTAACCTAGCAGTTGCTATGAAGGGCAGAATGGCAAATTAAAATTCACATAGAAGTATCAACCCTTAAATAATCTGAAAGTACTACTTCTAAGAGGGGTGGGCATGGGGGAAGGGAATGGTAGAAATTTTTCAAAATTTCAAACAGCCAACTTTAACCAATGTATTCCTCATTTTGTGCACTTTCTTGGGGGCTTGTGCTAAAGCAAAGTGAATAGTCAGAAGGCTAGCTTCAGGAGAAAAGTGGTCTAAAGGGACTGGATAATTGGTCTTGAATGATTGAAAATTGATGGGAATGCACCTGTCCCCCAGTTTGTCTTGCAGAGTTAGACTCAGGAATGGTGACCTTTGATTCCAAATGCTTTGGCCTTTTGATTTCCTGTTGGATAGTCATAAGTAGGCTAGAAAAATTGTAGAAAACTAGAATTTATTCTCTTTGGACTGACAAATTTGATAGGGTGCATTCTCTCTATCTGAAAAATCTTGGTTAGGATTGAAAAAGTTAATTTTACAAAGCAATTTTCTATGAAAAACTGTAGTTATTCTTTATGTAATTGCTGGAGGAGAACAGAAATATGAAATTTCTAAAATGATAAACTATAATACTTATGTTTTAATATCTCAAAGTTTGAAATAGATATTTCAAACATATATACCTATATAACTTGGGATTTAAGAAATTTTTATTATAAAATTATGAAATTTTCAAACATGGAAAAAAGTGGAGAGATGAGATTGATAACATCCATTGATAGACCAGATTGCAATAATTTTGCTATATTTGTGTCATTTATTTTTTGCTTAGGTGCTTTAACATGTATTAAAGAAAATCATATTTTACCCCTTAATTCCTCAGTATAAAGCTCTAAAAAATAATATTTTCTATATAGTTACAATATCATTTCAAACAAAATAAAAAATGTCTTCTTTACATCATTTATTACCAAGTCCACATTTGGATTTTTTAATTGTTCTGAAATGTCTTTTATGGTTGATTTGTTGAAACTAGTTTCTTCCAATCAAGGAAAACACATTGCATTTGGTTATTTATCTCAAGACTCTTTTATTTATCACAGTTTTAGAGGCTGGGAATTCCAAGATCAAGGTACTGGCAGTTTTGGTGTCTGGTGAAAGCCAACTTCTTGGTTTGTAAGATTGGGCTTTCTTGCTGTGTTCTCATGTAGTGGAAGAAACTAGCTCTCTCTCCAGCTTCTCTTTTATAAGGGCGCAAATTCCAATAATGAAGGCTCCACCCTCATGACCTAATCACTCCTTAAAAGCTCCACCTCCTAATACCACCACCTTGGGAGACAGGGTTTCAATATATGAATTTTGGGAGGATGTAAGCATTCATCCTGTTGCAAGACTTAATTGGATTCAGGTTCAACTTTTTTCCCCAAGAATCTTTCATAGGTGATGGTGTTTATTCATATCCCATAATTAGTGATGCTGAGATGGTTGTAGAGTTATGATGGTCCCTTCCTGTACCCTCCATTATTTACTTTCCTGGGTCAAGCCAGTAGCCTGCGCGGTAAACTTTGTACCATGTGTGTATTTGGTTCTGTATCAACTTTACCCAGTTGTTTTAGCAATTATTAATGATCCTTGCTTGAGTGGATTACTTCTTTAGGGGTTTGAAAATGGTGATTTTTCTAATTCTCTAATTCTATTTATATGTTTTAGCTGACATTTTTCTATAAATTGGGCATTTTCCTCACAACTGGGCTAATTGGTTATCTTAAAACATCATTCCTTCCAGAAAGGCAGACTATGCTTATTTCTCTATTTTTTTAAATTACCAATTTTTAGAGTGAGGATTTGGTGAATTAGCTTGCTCCGCTGGACAAACAAATTTTGTTTTTTTCACTTTCACTTTTTTTGAATGTCACTATGGATTTTTATATTTAATTCAAATGCATTAGTGAATAAATGAGAAGACACTTTTTACCTGTTTTTATAGTTTTTATGTGAATATGGGAACTTACCTAAAAAAATCCTAAGTAAGTATTTTAATTCCCCTTTAAAGATACAAACTATGTCATACTATATGGAGCAAAAGACAAATAACTATGTACAAAGAATAAATAGTATCATTTAAATGAATTGTGATTAAGCAGAATTTGTAACCAATTGGTTTTTGATCCTGTTTCTATTTCCATCTGCTTCAAAGCCTCTTCAGTGGTTTAGATCTTCTATATATCAAATTATTCTAATCTCCTAAAGAGTTTAAGAGCTAAATGCAACACAATAGCTATAGGAATGCCTTTGCCCTTTTCTGGGCGGGTATGCCTAAGAGCAATCTCTCTATTTCTCCTCTTTGTTCTAAACTTTTTTCATCCTAAACTACCTTCAATATTAGACAAATGATAGTACTGTACCTGCCTCAAGATGTTTCTGACTTTTTCTAACATTTTCTTTCTTTGGAAATGGCATTCTATAGTAGCACTGTCAAATGGAACTTTCTCTGATGAAGCAAAAGTTCTATAATCTGCACTGTCCCAGCCACTAGCTGCATGTGGATATTGAATACTTGAAATGTAGCTAGAGAAATTGTAGAACTGGATTTTGCATTTTCTTTAATTTTAATTAAAATAGAAATTTAAATATTAATAGCTATAAGTGTTTAGTAGCTACCATACTAAACACCACAGATCTATAACTTAGTGTTTAAAATCTGTTTTCAAAAACGGAGTCAGACTGTTACAACCAGAAAACAACCATAGGTTAAATTAAATAAGTCACCGAGTACTATAAATACACATTTGGCAGATACAAACCAGATTTTTTCATGTGATAATCATGTCCTCTTTTAACTTTAGCCTTGGAGGTGGTGAAGTATGGTAGAAAAAATCTCTGTATCAGCAGCTGGAAAGCTTGCCTTCTTTCCCTACCTCTGCCATACAAGTTGGAGGGCAGATGTGTTAGCCTCTTGAAATGCCTAGAAGCCACTTGTTTCCTCACCTAAAAATCAGGTATGACAGCATCACTAAATTATCCTGGGAATCTAATGAAGCACTGCATATGGAAGCACTTTTTGTAACATCTATAGCACTGAGAAATGTAAAGGAGTATTATTTCCTGAAATGTAAAGGAGTATGATCAACTGAATATATCTCAGAGAATTATTATTTGACTGTATGCATTGAATAAAGCCCCTTGGCTAA